CTTTCACTTCCTTTGGACCTTCACGTGTAAGGGGATTTCATTTCAGACTTCGGGCTTCCTGGCCATTTGATCTGTTGAGGTGGGGTTAAGTTCAAGTGCACAGCCTCTTACTGCTGGGGCGCCTTTATGATTTCGTCGGGTTTCACTGCGTAACCCCTGATAGGTTATGGAGTCAGTGTGTTTGGAAACGATTCGACTTGGGAAATAGAAGCGGTCCTACTTTTTCTGCCTTGACCGCAGAAAGGCCTTGAAGAACGCAGTGTCCTGCACTGACGCATCTCAGAACCTTATGGGACAAAAATCCATACTGCCGGACCAGGAAGACCTATGAGGGAGCCGTGGCTGGTAGTGGGGTGTGGGTTGGTTCCCTCTCTGAGGGGTGAGGACTTCCCGTTGACCACAGGCATAATGGTTCAACGCAATGGGTCCAAAGAACAAAAAAACAAGACTTTTGGGGAAGTCCTCCCTGCCTGTTGCTTTGATGCTATAATAACACTTCTCCCTGGTGTGTCCTAAAGAAGGGACATCAGTCTTGGCCTCCCCTGCTCAGGAGCGGTCTCACGGGTAAATCTGGGAGCAGCGAATCAGCTCTGCTCCTCCACCCCCTTCTTCAGGTTTCAGGGTGTCGGGGTCCTGGTCTCTTTGGTCTAGGTGGGGAGCTTGGCAGGAAAACCCTAGCCTAGTTAGAGAGGCTCGTGGTTTTGTTCGGTGCTGCCCAGGCTGGCTGGATTAAATTCAACACAAGTTGACCTTTGGACAACACGGGTTTGAACTGAGCAGGTTCACTTTCCCTAAGTTAAAAAAAATAAACACCTAAGAAATAAACACCTAAAACACCAAAAAAATAAGACCTAAGAAAGTCATAAGGAAGAGAAAATATATTTTTCTGCAGCTTGCTTTATCCTAAGACTGAGGTCTATAATACATATAGAACATCCAGTGTGTGTTAGTTGACTGTTTATGTTGTCGGTGAGGCTTTCAGTCAACAGTGGCTCCTGATAGTTAAGTTTTGGGGGAGCCAAAGCTACAGGGGTGTTTTCGACTGTGCAGAGGTTGGCACCCCTCACCCCGCATCGTGCAAGGTCAGCTGTACTGCGACTCAGTATTGATAATTTCATTGCTTCTGTATTCTCACATTCTCCAGCCTACCTTTTATCAATAGTAAGACAGATATTTTGCTCTCAAAAAAATAAATAAAATAGGACTTTTTAAAATCAAAAACGACGTCCACACTCTCAATGCCCGGACATTTGCAGAGCGCCATGGAGTCTGCGGGGGGCGTCCACCCTGCTGGACCTTCCTGATAATCAGAGAGGTCGGACTGACGTGCAAGTCTTTTGTAAGATGCTTTAGGATGATGTTCGCACGTATCCGTGATTCATAACTCGTGCTGGTGAGGTTTGCAAAGGTGACGAAGCGTGCTGTGTATGGGTGATTGGCTACGATTAGAACTCCAGGCTTTTTGGCTCAGAGCCCTACGCTGCTAAAGCAGCTCATCTTGCCAATAAGTTGGCAAGAGTGAATTCCAAGAGTGGTGGTATATGCAACGAGAAACTGGTTTAACCCTACCATCCTGTCTTGAAACCTTTGTTTATAATATAACAGAGGGAACTTTAAGACTGCCGTACGGCAGCTGTTGTGTGTATGCAGATCACGTGGGCACCTTGTTTAAAATGGGTATTTCTGTCTCTGACACCGAGATATCCTGCTGCAGGTCTGGAGTGGGACCTAGAAGTTCTCATTTTTAAATGGAACCAACTGTTCTAAACTCTTACCTGATTTTCTGCAGATCACGCATTCTGCCTCCACTGTAATACCAACATTTTCTTTTTTTTTCTTTTTTTGGGGGCTTTATTGAAATATTGTAAACAATTCGTTGCTCGTATTTACATTGTACAATTCAATGAGTTTTTTTTTCAATTTTAGTTGGCATACAATAATATATTGGTTTCAGTTGTACAAGAGTGTTTAGAGATCTATATAACTCACAAATTGATCATCCCACTAAATCTAGTACCTCTCTCCTCCCTTACATATTTATTATAATATTATTAACTATTTTCCTTATGCCACACTCAATATCTTCATGACTATTTTGTAACTATCCATTTTTACTTAATCCCTTTGCCTTTTTCACCACCACCCCGCCCAAGCCCACCTCCATCTAGTAGCCTTCAACATATACTCTGTGTCTATGAGTTTATTTCCATTTTTGCTGCTGTTGTTGATTTTGTCCTTTAGATTCCGCATGTGTGTGAAATCATGCGATATTTGTCTTCCTCTCTCTGATTTATTTCATTCAGCGCAACACCCTCTAGGTCCATCAAGGCGGTATCTTTTTCCATCCCCTTCCTTCAAGTCTGTGTGAGTCTTTTAATCTGAAGTGAGTCTCTCGTAGGCAGCATATTTAGGGTCTCGTTTTCTTATCCATTCATCCACTCTGTCTTTTGGTCGGAGCGCCTAATTCTTTTCCATTTGAGGTACTTGTTGATAGGAATGTAGTTGTTAGCATTCTTTATTCCTGTTTTTATTACATGTTTTTTTTCTTAAAGAAGTCCCGCCAACATTTCCTGTCATACGGGCTTGGTGCTGATAAATTTCTTTAGCGTATTTTTGTCTGGGAAGCTCTTTATCTGTCCTTCGACTCTAAATGATGGCTTTGCTGGGTAAAGTATTCTTGGTTGTAGATCCCAACATTTTCTTTAATGGTGTATGAAGAATTACTGGCTTGACAAATCCTGGCTTTCTTAGAAAAACGGAACTCACTCGAATACTTCACGGTCAAACGTGGATGTGCCCATTTTGGGTGATGGGTTTACAATGACGTGAACACAAGGGGGACCACGGCACCCACTTCAGGATGTAGTGCAGGACCGTCTGTACCCTGAAAAAGAGCGAAACTCTGGAGGCTTCAAACCTGGGCCTCCAAGCCACTGAGCTCACTACACGTCATTAACGAATCCTGGGTTAATTAGCCAGGAAGGACCAATGCTTGGGGCTTAATAACTGTGTACAGATCATGTGGCAAATGACCGTGTGTGCGTGTGTGTGGGGGGAGGAATAAATGAGAAAGGATGCATGCTGTGTAAGAATATTCGCTTCTTTTTTTAATCAGTAAGTGCCTTTTAATGAAATATAGCATTAGCAACGTAAAGAACATGAGAGCCGACGGTACAGCTTTTGGGTTTTTCCTTTTTGCTTTTAAGGTGAGGATTAGGGAAGCTGATGAGGGATTGATTGCCTCATTCTCTCAGAGTGAGACTGGCTGTGTCAACTGGTGTTCTCACTCCACCTTCCAGCCACGCTTCAGAGGAAACTCTTTTCATGTGAGCTGGAAAAGATGAATTTCAAGCTTCACTGAGAGCTTTAAAACCTGAAATCTGTCTTGAAAATAACCTGTCTCTTAGGAATCTTCAGTCTCCAAGAATTACACAGCTTTGTCTCAGGCAGTGGAATGGCCGTATTATTAACCACGATTCCTTAAGTCTCCAAGTAGAAGGATGTTACAAATCTGAAAGTATTTGTTCTGGTTTGTGACTAAGCAAAACTGTATGATATTAAGTCAGATGTTGTTATAAACATATGAAATGGCACATTTTTTTTTTTTTCCCCCGCAGCTTGGGGGATTGTGGTGTGAAGCTCCTGGGAATGTGGAAATGTTTTCATAGTCTTGGAAACTGAGTCTGCGTGTGTGTGTGTGTGTGTGTGTGTCTCTGCCAGGTAGAGGGGATGAGTGGCATCCTAGCACCCCGGGATGTTGGGGTTGGAAGCTCTGCCAGGTAGAGGGGATGAATGGCATCCTAGCACCCCGGGATGTTGGGGTTGGAAGGGATCTTAGACACAAGCTAGTTCACCAACTTCCTCATTACCCAGATCATGGTCGTGACCCCCCCGGCCCTGTGTAATGACAATCGTGATGGTGGGGACAGTTCCCCTCTGGTAAGTGTTCGCTGGCCTTCAATTTTCCACCTCAAAGTGATGGTTATGCCACTGTATGGTAGAGACAGTGACAAAGAAGTCATATAGAGTGCAAAAAAATCTTAATTTTTCCTGTGCTGGTGCTTATGGGTAGTTTTTCTTTCTGTAGTTTCCAAATATATTATTATTTTATAGTTAAGAAAATAAATTAAAAAATTTTTTTTACTTTTCACATAACCTAAATTTGCAATTCAGCAGATCGATCTGCTTACCTAATAAACTCTTTTAAAAATTTATTTTTAATTAATTAATTAATTTTTGGTGACATTGGTTAACAAAATCCCGTAGGTTTCAGGTGTACAATTTAAGAGTAAGGCATATATACATTGCATTCTCTGTTCCCTTCTCATAGTTAGATTTTTTTCTGTTACCACATATTCGATACTTTCTTTCCTGATCTACCTCCCCCGACCCCGCCCTCCGGTAACCACTAGTCTATTGTCCATATCCACGAGTCTCTGTTTGTCCTGTTTGTTGCTTTTAGGTTTATATCCCATATATAAGTTATATCATGTGGTTTTCAACTTTTTCTGGCTTATTTCTGCTTAGCATGATGATCTCGAGGTCCATCCAGGTTGTCATGAATGACAGTATTTCATCTCTTCTTATGGCTGAGTGTTTATATATTTAAGTTTATATTTAAAACTATAGCCTCAGAGCATTTGTGTATTTAATAATCGCCTTTTAAAGAGGTGATTTAAGATGCTGATAGCATTCTACTAACTGTTTAGAGCCACCCTGTCCAACATGGAAGCTGTTAGCCACACAGGGCTATTGAAATGTGGCTGGCCCAAATCGAGATGCACCGTAGGTATAAATTACACACCAGATGTCAAAGAGTTGTACAAATGAAAGAGCGTAAGTAGCTCAGGGATTATTTTTCATCTTGATGGCATGTTGATATGATAACAATTTGGATAAACTGGGTTAAACAAGTTGCTTGAATTAATTTTATCTGTTTCCTTTTATCTTTTGAATGTGGCTCTTAGAAAATTCAAAATTACGCATGTGTGTGTACGTGTGCGTCGTATAAAGGAGAGAAGGTTAGCCATCTCCTTGACGGGGATGAAAAAGGCCCTCGGGCCTGTGTGACACACATACAGCTAAGGCATTGCCACCTGCTTGGTGACGTCTCAACATGGTTTTGAGAAAGGAGAGAGTGACCGCTTTGTGGGTGTGAGGTTATTTTTCTGGGCTGATAAAAATATTCTGGATCTAGATGGGGGTGATGGGCACATAATATTGTGAATAAACTAAATGTTTTTTACGCAACGAATAAATCAAAGTTCATATATGGCTCACATTATCCTTCTGCTTAATGCGTTTTAAGTTAAGGAGGTAGGAAGTGTGGCTTTGCTTAAAACGGTGTCTCTAGAAATAGGAGAAAACGTGGAAAGAGGCAAGGATGGGCCGAGGATTGTGGGGCAGTCGGCGCACCTTTCTCTCCCGCTTTGGTGAAGGCATGAAGCTGGGCACCGTCGGCCGTGAGCGACTGAGGCACAGGCACTGAGGTCACGAGCGGAGCTTATGACGTGAATAATTCCAGGTTTCTTCCGCTGTCCAGAAGTAGAACGTTCCTCTGAAACCCGTTGTAAGCTGAACTACTGCGAAACCGAGGAGCAGTCAGTCACCTTACGACACATCTTCTTAACAGATGCCAAGAATAAATCAGATCAAGCCCACGTGCTCGCAGATCCGGGTCAGAGTTATGGCAGCTTGAAGCAAAGGCCTGATGGTTCCTGGCCTTAGCGCGGTGATCACATCATACGGCGTCTAAATGTTGAATCACTGTCTTGTGCACCTGGAAGTAACATAATGTATGCCAACTGTACTGAAACATTTTATTTTTTTAATTTAAAAAACAAAGGCCTCACGCAAACTTTCAAAACGTGGATGGTAGCTCTAATTGCAAGAGTGAGGTGCGCTATGATGGAGAAGCGTAGGGTGCCGAGGTGACATGTCAGCTGAGCTCTGAAGGATAACGCCTCAGCCTGGCGAAGCGGGTGCCGGTGGTTGGGGTCAGAAGTGGGGAAAAGTGTTCCCAGCAAAGGACACACAGACGCATACCTACTCCTCCGCGGGAAGGGGCACAGTTCCATCAACAGTCTACCCACCAGCCCAGTCCCACCGCTCAAGCCCACACCTCTCCCTCCGGAGCCATGCGAACTCCGAGAGGCCATGCTGGTTACGAAACCATCTCCGTTTGTGCGTTTTCTTATTAGACTCATAAAACTTGCCTATTCCTTTCTGCTGCCCCCTCCCTCCTCCTTATACGACTGGCCGAGAGAGAAACCCCAAGAAAAACGCACACTCCCCAGATTTTATTATAGTTATTATGACTCAGATTTGAAGACTAGAATTTAATGGAGGTTTCCCTAACATTCCTTGAAGGGCTTTTTTCCCACCAGCCATGAAGTAGGATTGAAAAAACATGTTTCTTTAAAAAAAAAAAAGAAGAACCCCTCTGAATTCAAAGTTCCGGTTATTTTGAAAGCGGAGCCTGCGTTCGAAATGTCTGTGCTCTCTTCACACCCGCCTCTTCTCCTGCATTCCTTTCCTCTGTATTTCTCTGGTGCAGCAAGAAGCAAACCAGAGGGGTTGACCTTGCCCCTGACCTTGCTCTGTGACCTTGGCCTCAGTTTCTTCAAACGTAAAAGGCAGAGATGAATCTCAGGGCTCAGGTGTCCTTGGAACCTAACGCTCCTCGGATCTCCTGGGAGAACGTCAGCCATAGGCAATTCATGCAGCAGCTCCCAGTCCCATAGGCAAAACCAGGCTTCGTTCAAACTCCCTTTTTTCCGGGAGGGAAATTGGAGGCGGGGCCTTCCTTGTCCTCTGAGGTCACCTGGGTGAAGCCAATTTAGGCATCCGTGAAGGGGCCCCGCTCCCCAGGCCGGCCTCCCTCTCTCGGGCTCGCCCCTTCCCCACGCCGCCCCGCCCCCACGCTGTACCCCGACAGGCCTTGGACGCCAGAGAACCTTCGCTAGATCTTCCAGGCTCGGCTGCTGCTCCGCACGTGGGTCCCCACTCCTGTGAGTGCCCAGACCGGGAACTGGGAGCCTCCGGGATCCAAACCGGTAGCACGTGGTGAGGTGCACACGCCCACACAGGTGACAGGTAGGGACACGGCCACCTCAGGGCTCAGGCCCGATCGAAGGGGGTCTAAGTATTCATCATCTGTATTGATGTGAAATCTCAGCGCCGTGGGAAAACCATTGGTTTAGGACTCAGATCACCTGGCTTCTAATCCACCTCTGCAACTGGGAGCCCTTGAGCCAACTACCGACTCCAGCTGAGCCTCAGTTTCCCTCCCTGCGGAACGGGAGAGGCTTTCCAGAGTGACTTCTGGCTTTCATGGTCTGGTTCTTGGCAACGAGTTGCTTCTTCCGAGACCAGCTCGCCCGCCCGGCAGGAACGTGCGAGCAAACCTCGGGGTCCCTCTCTTTACGAGAGCAGCCGGCCAGAAAGGGTGATGGGGCGGTGAAAATATCACCGCCTCCCCTTTCCCTTGAGAGCTAAGGGGCTGAAATGCAACGTCAGGCAGACAGACCACGCCAGGGCTCGGCTCAAGGTTTTAACTGCAGTTTGATGCTCGGCATATTTATCTGGATTTCAGGGTTTTGTTTTTTTTTTTTTTTTTTAGGCTGGGATGCTGTAGCTCTCCGCTCACCCAGCAGCATGCTCTGACCGGAGCTCTGGAGGTAGCCATTAGGGGAAGGAGCATGGCGGAGCGAGGGGAGTTTGGGATGAAGGGCCAGGAAATGCTTCCTCGGGGATCTGGCATTATCAATAAGGCTGAGTGGATAAAGTCGTTCTCCGCTGTGAATCGGAGCTCGCTCGCTGCACTGTGCTCATCCCTCTGTGAGTCTCGTTAATTGTCTTATTCTCTCTAGGAGCCTTTCCGCTCTTCTTTCCACTTTCCTATACGTCTGAAATCCTATCGAAATTATAAGTTATCAACAGAATCAATAGGGAAAGGGTTGGTTGTTTCGTAGGAGTAACTGAAATAGTAGGGCATTGAAGGCAATCATCTGTCCATCCCTAAGTCTGGGGTGGGTGCTTACCGGGGAGGCAGGGGAGAGAGGCCTAGAGGAGCCGGGGGAGGAATTAATAAGGTAAATCGACATAAGCAAGGAGCCTTGCAGGGACTGATGACAGATGGCTGCGTGACTTGGAGAGGGAAGCCTGATTAAGTTAAATAATTGCCGCTGGTGTCCAAAAAACCCAGGAAATGGTTGGAAGAAAGGAAAAGAGCTGCCGAATCCTTTTCAAAATGCCTCTTAGGCACAGGTGTGTGTTCCTGGTTCCTTCCCGCAACACACACTTCCTGGGCGGCAAGCGCCTTGCTAGATGCTGGCTAAACAGTTCAAATAAGAGATGAGCAGCTCCCCGCACTCACCTCGTAGCCCAGGAAATGAAGCCCGACGGGGGCGTGCGGATCGTGCGCCACCGGAGAAGGCCATGGGGGTGTCTGAGAAGAGCAGAGTCCTGAGCGCCCACTTCTCGCTGAGCTGGCGCTATCGGTTCTGCTTCTGTGAACGGGTGGATCGCACGAAGCCACGTCATTATTTCCCTCCATTGCTTCCTTGCCATTTGCGGTATTGCTGTCTCTATGATCCTGTTTCGTTTCGGTGAACCGCATCCGTTCTACCGATGTATACCGTTATCTGTAGAGCTGGGAGATCCAAGTCAGGCGAGTCTTAAATGAACTTGAACTTTGCACCCGTCCGTCCCATCCACGGGCTGTTGTTATTGTCTTTTACCGTCGTGTCTGGTGGACCAGTCAGGCCCTGCCTGAGAAATGCTGGCTCTTCCTATTCTCACACCTACGATCATACTCACTCGTATGGGATTCAGAAATAAACGAAGAGGGCTCACGCTAAGTCTGGAATAATCTCGTTGCAACATCCGGACCCTTAGCTTCTACTAAGGTCTGCAGTGAGATCTAATCGGTGCTATTGCATGCTATTTAGAAGAACAAACCTACCAAAAAATGGAATTTAAAGCATGTTTACAAATCTCAGCATGCATTACTCTAGCTTTTTGTCATTTGTCAGCAGCTCAGGCTCCAACGAATAAGAAATAGATTTTCCTACAGAACAATGCAAAATACATTGTTCATATTTTTGGGGGAGGGGGGAGGGAGAAGAAATAATAAAAAAAAAGATATTGTGAGAGCTTTGAAGTGCCCGGAGCGCAGTGGCAGGTTCTTTGGTCGAAAGGCAGATTTTCCTCCTGCCGCTCAGCTAGATTCTCATCACACGTTTCTGAGCAGGAGATAATCAAAACCACCCAGAATGAATCAAAGGACAGATGAGAACTGTGCTGTGACAGGGGCTGAAGGGCGGCCTTTGGGGTGCTGGGTTCTCGCTGAAAACAAACAGCACGAGGTGGGCCGCGAGGGACCCTTACCTCTGGCATTCCGTTTATGCCTCCCGGCCGAAGCGGTTTCCCCTCGAAAATGAATGGAGGGCCAGGGGACGCTCAGCCTTCTCTTCCGGCCGCTTCCTCGCACCGCCCAGAGGTTCCGATGAGTTATTTCTCCCCGTCACCCCAGCAGGCAGGTCATCATCCATATCCCTGCTCTGGAGGCCGAGCGGTGACTCCGTAATGGGCCTTGAATGCGTGAGGGGCGTGCGGCCCAGGTGGGGAGCGGCTGTCCTCAGAGTCTGTCTCGAGTTGAGAGGTGAGGGCGTGAGCGGACCATCCGCAGAGGTGAGAAAGGGTTCTCGGTCCCGGGGGGCGGTGCTCCCTGAGAAGTGGCGAGGCTTTCTGCAGGCAGGAACCCATCTTCCACCCTGGGGTTTGCATCCCCGTAGCATCCGCCAGATATGTGTGTCCCCAGATAGTCACTGCTCGGTCGGTTGATTGACAACTAATGTTGACGGCTTCATCTATAGGGACCTTCCAACCACGGCTAGCGGCGATAGATCTAGGCTGACTTGATCTACCAAGAAGAAGGGACCAAAGGGTCCTACCAGGTCACTGTTTCCAAGTGCATAATTAGCTCCTCATATTGGCTCTGTTCAATTCAATAGAGAATTCGATCAAGTCGATACTTTTTGGTCGTCTACTAGGTGGAAAGCAATGAACGAAGCTTTGGTGCATGGAGGAAACCAATTAGTCAGCCTTGCCCTGGAAAAACA